AGAAGAATGAGGCTAATTATAACAAGAAATTTGAACTCGGGTTCAATTTTTTTTTACTTTTATTTTATTATCTTGCAATTAGACAGAGTTGGGATGGGAACGTGACTTCGAGTTCATTTTTGCTCTCTCTGCCTTTGCCGTCTCATCTCCATTTCTGCTTTTTCATAATTAACGACGCCAGGCGGTCTAATTAGCGACGTACGTGCCGGTTGGAATGTCTTGTCTGGTGCAGAAGCTAGGTAGACCAAGACTTACTCACATGTCCCAATCTCTTGTTGAAGTTTCTTTGACTGAACGAAGTCTCTCCTTGAGAACTAAATGAAAAAGCCTAATCCGAATAAATGCATGATGTATACAGTGCTTACTTTGCCTTGAAATTATGTTTTATTAAATATGTATATTATAATATCACATGTAGAAATACATAGGAATATTTAAATAGCGATAGCCTGTGTGAAAGTATAAAGAGAGAAAGAAGAGAAAGTTGGTTATCACATCCCTAGTCGACCACATGTCCTACCTTCTAAAAATAGACGTTTGGGATTACCTGGGTAACCTTCCCCTCCTCTTTAGGTGACGGTTTCCACCATACTGAGAATAGTTTGAAAGGAACCTGGATCAGATGATATAAGGACAGTTCGCTCTAGATTGTCTCCTCGCCAGTTATTCCCAGGGTGGTCCTCAGACCTTCTCTTTCCTCTCCGATCTACTCCTCAAGGTTTTTGCTTCTGATTCCTACCTCATGTATGATACACAACCCACGACTGCTTAACAAATCACTATATGTATATACTATATAGCTGTAGCTACACGGCGGTGTGCGGCTGTAGATGCACGGCGGAGTGGAACTATATTTACACGGTGGCAGGTAGACGGAATAGGAGGATAGTTACACGGAGTTGCGGGAGTGTAGTTACCCAGAGGCAGATGAACGGAGTGAGAGTGTAGTTACACGGCGACGGGGGAACAGCGTTACGATCTAGTTAGACGGTAACAGGTGCACGGTGTTGCGGAAGTGTAGTTACACGGCGGCAGGTAGACGGAATAGGAGGATAGTTACACGGTGTTGCGGGAGTGTAGTTACCCAGAGGCAGATGAACGGAGTGAGAGTGTAGTTACACGGCGACGGGGGAACAGCGTTACGATCTAGTTAGACGGTAACAGGTGCACGGTGTTGCGGAAGTGTAGTTACACGGTGGCAGGTAGACGGAATAGGAGGATAGTTACACGGTGTTGCGGGAGTGTAGTTACCCGGAGGCAGATGAACGGAGTGAAAGTGTAGCTACACGGCGACAGGGGAACAGCGTTACGATCTAGTTACACAACGAAAGGTGCACGGTGTGGGAGTGTAGTTATACGGCGGCAAGTAAACGGAATAGGAGGGTAGTTACACGGTGTTGCGGGAGTGTAGTTACCCAGACGCAGATGAACGGAGTGAGAGTGTAGTTACACGGCGACGGGGGAACAGCGTTACGATCTAGTTACAGGACGGTTTCCGATCGAGAGAATTAGCCGCCCAAGTGAATTAAGGGAGAGACGTTCTAACTAATGTGATTTAGCGTTCGCATCGAACTGTGCTGCGTGGTCATGTCGTACGGCACGCTAACTGCGCATTATAGCTTAACTGATTCTCGCTCCACTTCTTAGATAACAACTCCCTAGCTCGGGTTAAAGTATTGATTGATTGGCTGGCTCAAACGTCCGATATCACACTTGGCTTAGGTTATTGAGGCAGGGATAATGAAGATTCCCTATGGTGATATTAATAACCTATCTACGATACAATAATTATCAAATAGCTTTAAATCCACTAAATTTGGCATTATGTATATATGTTCTTATAGTATTTCTGATTGTTATTACTATTACGGTTATTTCTGTAAATACCTTTTACTCGGAGAATATGTATAAGGCCAGAAGGTGTTGATGGAGCTTTTTTTTTCTGTTATATATATTTCGAACAATTGACCTCGTTTTCTTCCTATAGGGTATGGTACCCGATCACATAAACTAGTAGAAAGTTTGGAATTGGAAGATCCGTATAGATGTGCCCTAAATGCACAATTATAGAGGTAAAAGCTCATAAAGTTCATTTGTGTATTGAATCTTCACAATCTGAAAAATATATATTTTACATATTTATTATCTAAAATACCACGGTTATTAATATTTTCGAGATATGATATACAATCTTAAAATTCCAGTTTTATCTCTATTTCTTCATTACTTTTGAGAAATACATTCTGTATATTCAAATATATTTAAATTTTACTCGAATATTTCTGAAAAATGGAAATAGGCAGCTTTGTAGAAAATAATTTAAAAGCAACTTTTTCCACGTATATATTTAAGGCGCAAAAAAAACTCCAATTAATTCTTGAGGGGTATTCAAGATTTTAATTAACATATGAGTTTAGGAAATTCTAAAAAGTAGTTTTGTGGATGGTAAAACCTCCGAGGAAAAAAAAGTTCTAAATTGATTTTACTTTTGGACAAAGTTCGAAAAAAGGAATGAAGAGGAAAATAGGAAAATGACATCAAATCAATAAATATTTGAAGACCAATTTTTTTCCCCTTTAAAATTTGCGGCTAAAACCGAAATATTTGCTTCAAATTAAATGGCTTAGAGGAGGCAGCAATTTGATGGCAGCTGGCGTTGACAAAGGTGCCGGGGGGTGCTGTGCTGATTGGAATTTTATAAACACACATCGTACTGACTGGTTAGTTAAGTTCTTAGTTATCTTTAGTGGTTTGTGGGATTAGATATATATAGCTGGCTATTTGGTGATTTAGTGTTAATTAGTTAATTGATTATAAATAGTTGCTTGTTGTTGATTATTGAATTGGTTATCAGGTGGCTAGATAGGGTTTAGTTTGTTAGTTGATTGGTTATAGTTAGTTTCTTGACTAGTCATTTAGAATTAGTTACCTGGTTGGCTAGTTAGTCGATTTTCTGGTTATTTTATCTCGTTATTTGGTTATAGTTAATTGTATATTTGGTTATTTGGCGTTAATTGTTTGATTGGCAGAAGTTGTGGCTTGTTAGTCATTTAGAGTTAGTTGGATGAGTGGCTACGCTTAGTTGCATAGTTGGTCTGAGTTAGTTGGTTGAATGGCTACACTTAGTTGCATAGTTGGTCAGAGTTAGTTGGTTGAGTGGCTACACTTAGTTGAATAGTTGGTCAGAGTTAGTTGGTTGAGTGGCTATACTTAGTTGCATAGTTGGTCAGAGTTAGTTGGGTGAGTCGCTACACTTAGTTGCATAGTTGGTCAGATTTATTTGGGTGCCTGGCTACACTTAGTTGCATAGTTGGTCAGAGTTAGTTGGATGCCTGGCTACACTTAGTTGCATAGTTGGTCAGAGTTAGTTGGGTGAGTGGCTACACTTAGTTGCATAGTTGGTCAGATTTATTTGGGTGCCTGGCTACACTTAGTTGCATAGTTGGTCAGAGTTAGTTGGATGCCTGGCTACACTTAGTTGCATAGTTGGTCAGAGTTAGTTGGGTGAATGGCTACACTTAGTTGCATAGTTGGTCAGAGTTATTTGGATGCCTGGCTACACTTAGTTGCATAGTTGGTCAGAGTTATTTGGATGCCTGGCTACACTTAGTTGCATAGTTGGTCAGAGTTAGTTGGATGCCTGGCTACACTTAGTTGCATAGTTGGTCAGAGTTAGTTGGTTGCCTGGCTACACTTAGTTGCATAGTTGGTCAAAGTTAGTTGGATGCCTGGCTACACTTAGTTGCATAGTTGGGCAGAGTTAGTTGGTTGCCTGGCTACACTTAGTTGCATAGTTGGTCAGAGTTAGTTGGATGCCTGGCTACACTTAATTGCATAGTTGGTCAGAGTTAGTTGGATGCCTGGCTACACTTAGTTGCATAGATGGTCAGAGTTGGTTGAGTGGCTATACTTAGTTGCATAGTTGGTCAGAGTTATTTGGTTGCGTGGCTACACTTAGTTTCATAGTTGGTCAGAATTAGTTGGATGCCTGGCTACACTTAGTTTCTTAGTTGGTCAGAGTTATTTGGTTGAGTGGCTACACTTAGTTGCATAGTTGGTCAGAGTTATTTGGTTGAGTGGCCACACTTAGTTGCATAGTTAGTCAGAGTCAGTTGGTTGAGTGGCTACACTTAGTTGCATAGTTGGTCAGAGTTAGTTGGTTGAGTGGCTACACTTATTTGCATTGTTGGTCGGATTTAGTTGGTTGCCTGGCTACACTTAGTTGCATAGTTGGTCAGATTTAGTTGGATGCGTGGATACACTTAGTTGCATAGTTGGTCAGAGTCAGTTGGTTGAGTGGCTACACTTAGTTGCATAGTTGGTCGGATTTAGTTGGTTGCCTGGCTACACTTAGTTGCATAGTTGGTCAGAGTCAGTTGGTTGAGTGGCTACACTTAGTTACATAGTTGGTCAGAGTTAGTTGGTTGCCTGGCTACACTTAGTTGCATAGTTGGTCAGAGTCAGTTGGTTGAGTGGCTACACTTAGTTGCATAGTTGGTCAGAGTTAGTTAGTTGAGTGGCTACACTTAGTTACATAGTTGGTCAGAGTTAGTTGGTTGCCTGGCTACACTTAGTTGCATAGTTGGTCAGAGTTAGTTGGCACATTTTTTAAAGTTTGTTTGTCAGATGTGTCTATTCGATTAGCTGAGTAGTTGGATGATTATAGGCGAACTATTTGGGTAGAATTAGTTTATAGAGTGGTTATAGCTAGTGGGTATTTTGAGTTAGTAGTGTAGTTGATTGGTTATAAGCTGCTGCAAATTAATCCGTTGGTTAGCTAGGCGTTTGAATGATCATAAGTAATTGGTTATATAATTAGTCACTGAATAATTCTATTGGTTATAGTTAGATGATTGGGAAGTTATCAAACTAGTCCGTTGGTTGGTTGAATGTGATTATAGTAATTTTTGTTAATTTGTTAATTTTAATGGTTATTTTGTTGAATTGTTCAAGTCAGTAGGTTGATTGTGTGTGTGTGTGTTTAGTTAGCTAGTTGGTTGGTTTGTTTAGTTTTCAAGGCTGGTTAAACCGTTTGGTTTTCGACCACTAGGACCCGGGTTCGATTCCCGCATTGGACACTTTTTTTGTTTAAAAAAAAATGCTCCAATGGCCCCCGATTCTTGCAAAAGTCCAACCCCACCAGCGAGTGCAAGTAACCAAACGGGGCTCTGGCATTTGTAAGTGCAAAGTCGAACTGCTTTTCACATGTGTAGACATGTGGTGCGCTTACAGTAAAAAGCAGTCGCTAACTACCCACCATGATTATCATGGCCTGTACCACGTGTACTAGGGATAAGCAAAAAAAAAAAAAAAGTTTTCAAGATTGCTTGTTGAGCAAGTTGGTTTGCCATGGTTGATTAATTCGGGAGAATATATTGAATTAACTTATTGATAGGTGGTTCATATCAATTTGTTTTTTCGATATTTATTGATAGGGGTCAGTTATTCGTTTCGTTATGTTAAATAGTAGTTGACTTGAGATTGTTGGATAGGTTTGAGATGGGTCAGTAAGCTGAGTGATCAGTTGATGGACTGACTGACTTTATTACGACTAATTGATCAAATAGGGATGGCCTTCTAGTCTTAAATTTGATGGAATGGTTATTAGTGCGTATTGGAGAGAGTAACTTCTTTTATCATATCACGTTAATCCTAAGAATATTTTAATCTGTTAACTTATTGTTACGAGTTTGTCTGCCTCACGGTTGTTAACGTCAGCTCCTTCGTGCCGGTGCTACATATTACCGAGGTGTCTTTAAACTAGGCAATTTGTGAATAAAGCTTCATATATATATCCTACAGATGAATGAAGCTATGAAGGCTGCTCCCTGTACCGAGACTGTACCCTTTCAACATCATCTATCAATCCTACAGTTGAACCAGGCAATGCGTGCTACTGCTTTCACAGATATTGTACCATTTCAACATCACCTATCAATCCTACAGCTGAATCAAGCAATGAGTGTTATTCCCTATACCTAGACTTTACAATTTCAACATCACCTATCAATCCTACAGCTGAATCAAGCAATGAGTGTTATTCCCTATACCTAGAATTTACAATTTCAAAATCATCTATCAATCCTACAGCTAAACCAAACAATGAGTGCTACTGCTTTTACAGATATTGTACCATTTCAACGTCATCTATCAATCTTACAGCTCAATCAAGCAATGAGTGCCACCTATACCTAGACTGTACCATTTCATATATCATCATCTATCAATCTTACAGCTGAATTGAGAAAGGAGTGTTACCTTCTATACCGAAACTGTATCATTTCAAAATCCCCTATAAATCCTACAGATGGATTGAGCATTGAGTGCTACTCCCTATACCGAGACTGTACTATTTCAACACCACATATCAATCCTAAAGGATGACTGTACAATTTCAGCATTATCTATCAATCCTAAAGATGAATCAAGCAATTATTACTAATACCTATACCTAGATTGTACCATTTCAAAAAAAAAAAAAAAAACACAGACGAAACCACAGAGAGAAGAACTCCAAGATAGAAACAACTGCACCGTCATCTCGCGGCTTGCTGTTGCCAATATTAAATAGACCGCCTTGTCCCTGTCATCGAGTACATGACGCTAGCTTCATTAGCAATGGGAAGGTTGCAATCGTATATTTCCCATCCAAACTTGCCAGAATCTATCCTCTACAACGGCTCGAATGGCTGAGAATGTACCTTCTTTACATTTCTGCCAGGTAATCCTTGACAAGCTCGTGCTGCAACTCGAGGTCGAAGGAATAAGTGCTTCCTCGTCTATCTCAACCTGGCTCGAATAATTTGATTTCAATTACTGTTCAACTGGCGTTTTTCCTTGAAGGTTTATATCTCCACATACAGATGGTCATGGATACATTTTTTAAATTTGATTCTTTAATTAAAAGCTGAAGTGTGGTTTTCATGTATACACAAATATATAGCTCTCAATAATTTAGATTGGACTATTTAAAAATATCCGAATTTGTTATTTTAGTGATTCATTTTAATGGATGTTTGGGGGCGAAAAGCCGGAAAGATTTCTAGTACTTCAATAAACCTTAAATCCTATCATCAAATTGAACTCTCATATTTCAACGGAACTCTTCAATACGAAGAATTTGAAATAAAGCTTTATAAGGATGTGAAAACCCGCTATTTCAACAATTCTATACTGTACAATTCAAAATGCCGGCTCGTTCTAACAAACCAATAACGTAAATAATTAAAAAAAAAAACAACCTTGTTGGTGTACCCACTGAGCGGTTTCGACGACCAATACCGCAAACAATTCAAAAACTAACCTTGTTATGGGTAGGAATAGGCGACTGCTTTTATTGTAAGTACACCACATGTCTACACATGTAAGAAGCAGTTCGACTTTGCACTTACAAATGTGCCAGAGCCCCGTACAAACCTTGTTGATATACCCACTGAGCGGTTTCGACGACCAATAACGCAAACAATTCAAAAACAAACCTTGTTATGGGTAGGAGTATGCGGCTGCTTTTATTGTAAGTACACCACATGTCTACACATGTAAGAAGCAGTTCGACTTTGCACTTACAAATGTGCCAGAGCCCCGTACAAACCTTGTTGATATACCCAGTGAGCGGTTTCGACGACTAATAACGCAAACAATTCAAAAACAAACCTTGTTATGGGTAGGAGTAGGCGACTGCTTTTACTGTAAGTGCACCATATGTCTACACATATGAGAAGCAGTTCGACTTTGCATTTACAAATGTGCCAGAGCCCCGTACAAACCTTGTTGATGTACCCAGTGAGCGGTTTCGACGACCAATAAAGCAAACATTTTAAAACCCAACCTTGTGCTTGTTTAATCCAATCTCGTTCCATGCGTGAGTTGTGCAGCTAAATCTCTACTCCTGATATAAAAACTACACAGGTAGAGCAGCCATGGTAATTATGGTAGTTAGTTAGCATCTGCTTTTACTGTAAGTGTACCACATATCTACAAATATAGAAAGAACTTCGACTTTTTTACTTACAAAAAGTGTGACAGAGTTTAGTTTGGTAACTTGCACTCACTGGTAAGGATGGACTTTAGCAAGAATCGGGGGACCTTTAAAGCAAATTTTTTCTTAAAAAAAAAATCCCAATGCGAGTTTTGAACCCAAGTCGTGTTAGTCGAAGTCGATAGTTTATTGTGTTGAAGGACTTCAGCAAGAATCGATGGGCCATTTAAGCAATTTTTAATTTAGAAAAAAAAAGTTATCAATGCGGGATTTGAACCCGGGTCGTGTCTGTCGAATTCAATAATATTTGGTGCGGATGGACGTTAGCAAGAATCGGGGGACCTCGAAGCAAATGTTTTCTTAAAAAAAAAAAAAGAAGACCAATGCGGGATTCGAACCTGGGTAATGTCTGTATACAGTCAACAGTTTATTGTGTGGATGGACTTTAGCAAGGATCGAAAGGACATTTAAGCAAATTATTTCTTTAGAAAAAAAAGAGTGATCAATGCGGGATTTGAACCCTGGTCTGGCTGTTTACAGTTGACAGTTTATACCACTCTACTATCCAGAGCTTGCGAAATAGCACCAACTAACTAGATATAAAAATAGAATTCTAGGCCACACATTGTTCTAGGCAATGATGTATTTATTAGTAGATTCAGCTTAATTTCAATCAGAATATAGAAAAGGTGGAGGGGAGGGAAAGACTAATCTTGTACTAATTACAGACAGTCCCACCAATAGGAAAAGAGCTAATAAGAAATTACTTTTTAATTGGATAATTCTACCGTAAAATTTTATATTTCCCAATTTAATTTTATTCATCGCTTAAGAATTTTAAAAATTTAATTTTAAAGAATAATTAAATAATACATTTTGTGAGCTCTACACGCCTATTTAAAAGAGAAAATTAAAATGTATGCGATAATTTTAACTCTCAACTTTGAATGAAGATTTTATAAAAAGATAACACATGGTCATTGAACATTTTATGTTCAAGTATTTAATAAATTGTTCTAAAAAAACCTAGTATATTTACAACAGGTGTTTGTTGGTGAAGGCAATAGGGATTCTGTTATAGTGTAATTGCACAAGTGATTGCCATATTGAACCTTTTTCTGTAGACTTTTATTATAAATAGACAGCTTCATGCAGCTTGAGGAACTACACTACTATGCGACTTGATTTACATCAATGTAAATTATCAATAAGTTACTTTAGAACATAACTCATTGTAAATAACTCAACTTGATCAACTTTCTCTCTCCACAATACTAATTATTACAGATAACTTCATCAAATCAACTTCCATCATTGCTTAACATATTGTAAATAACTACCTTGCGATTTCTTCTATCTACTTATGTTGTTGCTTATTTGTTTAATGTATATGTTTATTTAATGCTCTTTTTCTTAATTGTTTATTTTCTTTTTGATAATTCTGTTACCTACTCTACTACAATATGAATTATTGTAAATAGTTTCACACGCAATTATCCAGATCGGATATAGCGTGTCTTGTTTGCAACTGGTAATGAATAAATGTTGACCTTTACTTGATAGATTTAAATAATCTTTGAGAAGAAGAACCAAGCTATACCTAATGTTATTACAAAATATTTATAGAATTTTATTTGAAAAATAGTACATGAATTTGTCTTTAGAGAAAAATTTATAAATGAATTTCAAAAAAAGAAGCGTCTCCTATTCGTATAGCTGGGAGTTGCTGATGGCTTTGTTTATTAATTTATGAAATTTGTTTTCACACACATCCTCACACTAGAAATAATTCTTCACTCCCTTCATCTACATTACCTTCATTGAGGTAAGGAAAAGTATATATAAAATGCTCGTATTTGACATTCTCAAAAGATGAAACCCAATAAACTCTCTTCAAATAGCTCTAAATAAATTAAAAAACAACATGAAATTACATATTTTTTGTTTTCTTTTACTAGATAGTCCTGTTTTCAAGACTACATAATCGAAAATAATTTAATAGTAACAGATCCAAGTATTTTAATTTCCAGTAAAGAAATGTATATTAAATTCAATACCTTTTGTAGATATATTTTAAATTATATAGCAACAAATATCTTT